AAATGGGAAAAGTGTTAAGTGAATCGTCTGGTGTAAAAGTTTAGAAAAACTGTTATTTCTGTTTTGTTTTTTTCTGAGACAGACTTTCGCTCTTGTTGCCCAGGCTGGAGTTCAATGGTGTAATCTTGGCTCACCGCAACCTCCACCTCCCGGATTCAAGTGATTCTCCTGCCTCAGCCTCCGGAGTAGCTAGGATTACAGGCATGTGCCACCACGTCCAGCTAATTTTGTATTTTCAGTAGAGATGGGGTTTCTCCATGTTGGTCAGGCTGGTCTCAAACTCCTGACCTCAGGTAATCCACCCGGCTCGGCCTCCTAAAGTGCTGGGATTTTTTTTTTTTTTTTTTTTTGAGATGGGGTCTTGCTCTGTCACCCAGGCTGGAGTTCTGTGGCGTGATCTTGGCTCACTGCAACCTCCACCTCCCAGGTTCAAGTGATTGTCTTACCTCAGCCTCCTGAGTAGCTGGGCCTGTAGGTGCAAACCCTCATGGCCGGCTAATTTTTTTGTATTTTTTTAAGTAGAGATGGGGTTTCACTGTGTTAGCCAGGATGGTCTTGATCTCCTGACCTCATGCTCTGTCTAACTCAGCCTCCCAAAGTGCTGGGATTACAGGCATGAGCCACTGCACCCAGCCCAGTGCTGGATTACAGGCGTGAGCCACCGTGTCTGGCCGAAAAACTTATTTCTTAACCCATATTCTCAGAATGTTATTACTCTTTGCAGGACCCAGAGTTAGTTTTTCCTTCAAAGTTTGAGGTCTTATAGCTCTCTGTTCTTGGCCAACGAGGCTAGATGCTCTTCTCTTGCTGTCTGTCAGTTAGATATTTGAGTTAGAGGAATTGTTGGAGAACAAGTTTTCTGGTTTACGGTTATACCAGACCTTAGCTGCCATTATGGTTTTCAGTGAAGAGAAAAAAATGTAATCAGAGGCCTTTGGGGATGGGCTTGGTATTTGAGCTGTACCTGTCAAATCAGGGTGGCTCCCAACCGGTGTGGGAAAGTGAAGAGCAGATTTTACACTGAGAGTGGAAACGAAATTATGAAGAGCTTAGATGTGCATGCCTGAATTGTTTTTGAGTTTCTTACAGTGGGATACTGATACTTGTGTTTTACCTATTACAGCTGTGGAGTGGAATGTCATGGCCAGCTCCTCGGACAGTGAAGATGACAGTTTCATGGCTGTGGACCAAGAAGAAACTGTGTTGGAAGGGACAATGGAGCAAGATGAGGAGCCCCACCTAGCATTGGAGGCTGAGGAGACTCGACATAATAGGTCCATGTTGGAGCTGCCAGAAGAGGTTTTGGAGTATATCCTGTCCTTTCTCTCACCGTATCAGGAACACAAAACTGCAGCCCTTGTCTGCAAACAGTGGTATCGACTCATCAAAGGTACTGTGGAAAGGAGAAAGGTTTATTTATTGATTTCAAATTTCATTGATTTATTTTTAGACTCCAAATTTAGTTTTTTTCTTCCCTTTTAAATGTATTATGGTTATAAAATCTAGCATTAGATGATACTACATTTTCCTTTTTTTCTTACCCTGGTAAGCCACTGCGCCTGGCCAGTAAATGCAGGATTAAAGATTCATATTCAGGCAATTTGGCTTTAGAGTCTATGCTCTTATTAAGGCTGCTTATTGTGTCTGAGTAGCTACTTTTAGCAACTGTGTTCTTTTGAAAAGCATTTGTCACTTGAATTTTATCTCTAAACAGCAAAAACCCTATGTACATCCTTTGCTTTTTAAAATACGTTTCTTGGCTGGGTGCGGTGGCTCACACCTGTAATCCCAACACTTTAGGAGACTGAGGCAGGTGGATCACTTGAGGTCAGGGGTTTGAGACCAGCCTGGCAATGTGGTGAAACCCTGTCTCTACTAAAAATACAAAAAGTAGCTGGGCATGATGGTGAGCGCCTGTAATCCCAGCTCTTCGGGAGGCTGAGGCAGGAGAATTGCTTGAACCCGGGAGGTGGAGGTTGCAGTTAGCCGAGATTGTGCCATTGCACTCCAGCTTGGGTGACAGAATGAACTGGCTCAAAGAAAAAAATCAAGTTTCAGCTGGGCGCCGTGGCTCGCTCCTGTAATCCCAGCACTTTGGGAGGTCGAGGCGGGTGGATCATGAGGTCAAGAAATCGAGACCATCCTGGCCAACACGGTGAAACCCCGTCTGCTAAAAACACAAAAATTAGCCAGGCGTGGTGGTGCATGCCTGTGGTCCCAGCTACTTGGGAGGCTGAGGCAGGAGAATTGCTTGAAACCGGAAAACGGAAGTTGCAGTGAGCTGGGATAGCGCCACTGCACTCCAGCCTGGCGACAGAGCAAGACTCTGTCTCAAAAAAAAACAACTTTCTCCTGTTTTCATCCTTTCCTAATCAGGATTTCACCTTTCTGCTAAATCTTTATGTTGCTAGCCATGCTGTAGTTTTAATTAGCAGAAAGCAGTTATTGGCTTCATTGCATCCTAAGTGGAAAGGGCCCGTGTTTTTGTTTGAAGATGATCAATCGAGTCATTTTTGATCAAAGCAAGGGTTGTCTTGATGTGTTCTTTCCTGGGGGAATAAGGCAGCCAAAGATATAACAGAGAACAACCTTTAGATCAGAATCAGTTTTAAAATATTTTCCTTGCATCAAAGTGGTTCTATGGGGAGGGGAGTCCTTGTCAACTCCCAAAGTCCACCTAGAGGGCTAAGGACCAGCTGTGTTGAAACTGCTCTGTGGGCCCTGCGCTCATTTATTACAACTGCTAATACTGGCACACACAGCCTGCTTCTGTATTCTGAGTTAATGGGCTCTTCAGGAGAGATTGGCTCCCTGCCCTGTGGAAATACATGGTTTCACTTCTCAAAGGGAGGGAAACCACAGATAAGGGACTGTGAAATCAAATATATGAATTTATCCTTAGGTTTTCTTTGGCAGTCTTTTATGTTTTTAAAGAGAGAAGAACCCTACCCTAATGCTCACAGTCTTAGATCGATCTTTCTGGCAGAAGTCACTGAGGAGATAGTCTTGTTTGTTTGTTTTTAATTTTAATAGACTCTTTTTTTTTTTTAATAGCACTTTTACGTTCACAGCAAAATTGAGCAGGAGAAACAGATTTCTCTGAGCAGGTGCGGGGGCTCATGCCTGTAATCCCAGCACTTTGGGAGGCAAAGGTGGGCAGATCACCAGAGGTCAGGAGTTCAAGGCCAGCCTGGCCAATATAGTGAAACCCCATCTCTTCTAAAAATACAAAAGTCAGCCAGGCATGGTGGTGGTGGGCGTCTGTAGTCCCAGCTACTCGGGAGGCTGAGGCAGGATGATCGCTTGAACCTGGGAGGCAGCGGTTGCAATGAGCTGAGATCAAGCCATTGCACTTGAGCGCGAGTGACAGAGTGAGACTCTGTCTCAAAAAAAGAAACTGATTTCTCATGTACCCCCTACCCTGACACATGTATAGCACTTCTCATTATTAACATCCCCCACCAGAGTGGTACATATGTTACAATTGATGAACCTATACTGAAACATTGTTAAATCCCAAGTCCAAAGGCTGGAATGCAGTGGCGCAGTCTTGGCTGACTGCAGCCTCTGCCTCTCAGGTTCAAGTGATTCTCCTGCCTCAGCCTCCTGCATAGCTGGGACTATAGACACGTACCACCATGCCCAGATAATTTTTGTATTTTTTGTAGAGACGGGTTTCATGATGTTGGTTAGGCTGGTCTTGAACTCCTGATTTTGTGATCTGCCCACCTCAGCTTCCCAAAGTGCTGGGATTACAGGTGTGAGCCACTGCGCCCAGCTTCCTCCTTATTTTTTGAGATAGGGTCTTGCTCTGTTGCCCAGACTGGAGTGCATTGGTGTGGATTTTGGCTACAACCTCCACCTCCCAGGTTCAAGTGATCCTCCCACCTCAGTCTCCAGAATAGCTGAGACCACAGGTGCTCACCACCATGCCTGGGTACTTTTTTAAAAATTTTTTATAGAGACAGGATCTTGCTGTTACCCAGGCTGGTCTCAAACTCCTGAGCTCAAGTGATTTTCCTGTTTAGCCACCTCCATTTCTTTTCATGATTTGTTAGCTCTTTTTTTGTTACTGCTTAGTAATATTTCATTGTCTAGATGCATTGCAGTTTGTTTACCTATTCACTTACTAAAAGGGTATCTTGGTTGCTTCCAACTTTTTACAATTATGAATAAAGCTGGTGTAAACATTTTTGTGCAGGTTTTTCTGCGGACATTATTTTTCAGCTCCTTTGGGTAAATACCAAGGTGCACAATTGCTGGATCATATGGTAAGAGCATGGTTAGTTTTGTAAGGAACTGCCAAACTGTTTTTTGAAGTGATTGAACCATTTTGTACTCCCACTAGCAGTGAATGAGAGTTCTTGTTGCTCCACATTCTCACCAGCATTTGTAGTAGTAGCTGGGATTTTCATCATTCTCATGGATGTGTAGTGGTATCTCATTTTAATTTGCATTTCCCTGTTGACATGATATGGAGCATATTTTCATGTGCTTATATGTTATCCATATACCTTCTTTGAAGTGTCTGTTTAAGGTCTTTGACCCATGTTTAATTGTTTCTACATATATATTTTAAATATATATAGAGAGAGACATATATATTTTATTTTATTTATTTTTTTGAGACAAGGTCTTCCTCTGTCACCCAGGCTGGAGCACAGTAGCATGATCATAGCTCATTGTGGCCTCGACTTCCTGGGCTCAAGCAATCCTCTTGCCTTAGCCTCCCAAGTAGCTTGGACTACAGGTGTGTACTCCCACACCCAGCTGAGTTTTCTGTTTATTTATTTTTGTAGAGATGGAGTCTCACTGTGTTGCCCAGGCTGGTCCTGAACTCTTGGGCTCAAGTGCTCTTCCCACCTGAACCTGCTAAAGTCCTGGAATTATGAGCCACCACACCAGGCTTTTGACCCATTTTTTAATTGGGTTATTTATTAATAATATTGAGGGCTTTTTTTTTTTTTTTTTTTTTTTTAGACGAAGCCTCCCTCTGTTACCCAGGCTTGAGTACAGTGGCATAATATCGGCTCACTGCAACCTCCTCCTCCTGGGTTCAAGCAACTCCCGGCTAATTTTTGTATTTTTAGTGGAGATAGGGTTTCACTATGTTGACGAGGCTGGTGTCGAACTCTTGATCTCAAACGATCCGCCCAACGTGCTAGGATTACAAGCCTGAGCCACTGCACCTGGCCCTAATACTGTTGAGTTATAAGAGTTCTTTGGATATTATATGTAACTATCTTTTATCAGATATGTCTTTTGCAAGTATTTTCTCTCAGTCTACTCATTCTCTTGACAGTATTTTTCACAGAGCAGAAACTTTTAGTTTTAATGAATTTTGGCTTATCAGTTATTTTTGGGAGGGGATTAAGGTCTTGCTTTGTCACCCATGCTGGAGTCTAGTGGTGTGATCATGGCTTACTGCAGCCTCGACCAAGGCTCGAGCGATCCTCTGACTTCAGCTTACCAAGTAGCTATACTACAGGCACATGCCACCACACCCAGCTATTTTTTTTTTTTCTTTTTTCCAGATGGAATCTCACTCCATTGCCCAGGCTGGAGTACAGTGGCATAATTTCGGCTCATTGCAACCTCTCCTTCCCGGGTTCAAGCAATTCTCCTGTTTCAGCCTCCCAAGTAGCTGGGATTACAGGTGCATGCTACTATTCCTGGCTAATTTTTGTGTTTTTAGTAGAGACGGGGTTTTACCATGTTGACCAGGCTGGTCTCAAAGTCCTGACTTAAAGTGATCCACCTGTCTCGACCTCCCAAAGTGCTGGAATTACAGGTGTGAGCCACTGCACCTGGCCACACCCAGCTAATTAAAAAAAAAAGCTTGTTGAGACAGGGTCTCCCTGTGTTGCCCAGGCTGATCTTGAACTCCTGGGTTCAAGTGATTCTCCTACCTTTGCCTCCGAAAGTGTTGGGATTACAGGCATGAGCTACCATGCCTAGCCATTCTTTCTTTCATGGATCATGCCTTTGGTGTTGTGTCTAAAAAGTTGTCCCCAGTCTCAGGTCATCTGGATTTTCTCCTGTTATCTTCCAGGAATTTTATGTTTTACATTTAGGACTGTGATTCATTTTGAGTTCATTTTCATGAAAGATGTCTAGATTCATTTTCTTGCATGTAGATTTTGATTTGTTTCAGCACCATTTTTGGAAAAGGCGCCTTTTTTTCTTTAAGGGATGGAGTCTTCTGGCCAGGCATGATGGCTCATGCCTGTAATCCCAGCATTTTGGGAGGCCGAGGTGGGCAGATCAGTTCAGATCAGGAATTTGAGAACAGGCTACCCAACATGGTAAAACTCCATCTCTACTAAAAATGTAAAATTAGCTGGGCGTTATGGCACATGCCTATAATCCCAGCTACTTGGGAACCTGAGGCAGGAGAATCATTTGAACCTAGGTGGTGAAGGTTGCAGTAAGCTGACATTGCACCACTGCACTCCAGCCTGGGCAACAGAATGAGACTCCTTCTCAAAATAAAAAAAAAGGGGTGATGGGGTCTCCCAACCTGAGAACATGGCCAAACCCCATCTCTACAAAACAAAAACAACAACAACAAAAAACCCCAGAAATTAGCCGGGTGTGGTGGTGCATGCCTGTAGTCCCAACTACTTGGGAGGCTGAGGTGGGAGGATCCCTTGTGCCCAGGAGGCAGAGGTTGCAGTGAGCAGAGATTGCACCACTGCACTCCATCCTAGGTGACAGAGTGAAACCCAGTCTCAAAAGAGGGTGTGGGGAAGGGAGGTGAGGTCTCACTGTGTTGCCCGGCTGAAATTCACTAGCCGTTCACAAGTGGGATCATTGTGCACTACAGCCTCAAACTCCCGTGCTCAAGCGATCCTCCTGCCTCAGCTTCTCATGTAGCTAGGATGACAGGCATATGTATGTCACTGAGCCTGGCAAAAGGCTGTCTTTTCTCCATTGCATTGCCTTTGTTTCTTTGTCAAAGATCAGTGGAGGCTGGACACAGTGGCTCACGCCTGAAATTCCAGCACTTTGGGAGGCTGAGATGGGATGATCGCTTGAGCCCAGGAGTTTGAGACCAGCCTGGGCAATATAGTGAGACCCCCACCACTATTAAATACAGTGGACTGTATTTGTATGGGTCTATTTCTTGGCTCTCTATTCTGTTCCATTGATTTATTTGTCTATTATTTGTGAATACCACACTGTCTTGATTACTGTAGCTTTTATAGTAAGTCTTGAAGTCAGGTGGTATCAATCTTCTGACTTTGTTCTTCGTCTTCCATGTTTTCTTGGCTATTCTGGGTCTTTTGCTTCTCCACATAAACTTTAGAATCAGTTTGTTGATATTCACAAAATGACTTGCTGGGATTTTGACTAGGACTGCATGGGATTACAGGCATGAGCCACTGTGCCTGGCCTCTCACCTTTTAAAAAACTTTCCTGGTTGGGCGGGGTGGCTCATGCCTGTAATCCTAGCACTTTGGGAGGCTGAGGCAGGTGGATCACCTGAGGTCGGGAGTTCGAGACCAAGGGCGTGGTGATGCATGTCTTAATCCCAGCTACTCAGGAGACTGAGGCAGGAGAATTGCTTGAACCCAGGAGGTGGAGGATGCAGTGAGCCAAGATTGCACTACTGCACTCCAGCCTGGGAGACAGAGTGAGACTCTGTCCCCCTCAGCATAAAGAAACAAAAACGTTCATGAGTTACTTCATAATCCATTTTAGCCAAGCCTGGTGGTGCTTGCCCGTAGTCCCAGGTACCCAGGAGGCGGAGGTGGGAGTATCGCTTGAGCCCGGGAGGCAGAGGTTGCAGTGAGCCAGAGTCATGCCACTCCAGCCTGGGTAACAGAAGGAAACCCTGTCTAAAATAAATAAATGAATAAATAAACAAAGCGCAGTCCATTGTAAGCTATTTATTATCTCTGTATTTAAGACAGAGAATGCTTTATTATAGTTTCCCACTACAGATATTTGCAGAACACCTGTTATGTTCCTGACATTGATTTTTTGTTTTGTTTTGTTTGAGACAGTTTCATGCTTGTTGCCCAGGCTGGAGTACAGTGGTGTGATCTTGGCTCACTGTAACCTCTGCCTCCTGGGTTCAAGCAATTCTCCTGTTTCAGCCTCCTGAGAAGCTGGGGTTACAGGCACCCACTGCTATACCCGGCTAATTTTTGGTATTGTTAGTAGGGACAGGGTTTCACCATGTTGGCCAGGCTGGTCTTGAACTCCTGACCTCAGGTGATCCGCCCACCTCAGCCTCCCAAAGTGCTGGGATTACAGATATGAGCTACTGTGCCCAGCCTCCAGACATTGTTTTATCATACTCTTTTATGAGGTTGAATTGTCCCCCAACACCTTTGTTTTGGAGTAAATAATATCAATGATCTTCATATGTTGCCTTATGAGATAACATAAAAGGGACTAGAGTCACAGTGTGAGCTAATTTTGTAATTTTTAATGTCACTTAACCTCCCTGAACGTGATAAAATGAAAGGATTGCCTTTTGGTTTTAAAATTGTATTTCCTTTCTTTGAATGAAAATCAGATAAATTTGGAATTCCTTAAAGAAACATGTCTTATAGAAGTGATAAAAACGGGTAATACACACAATTTTAATAATTTGATTTCTAAGTTTAGTGTCTGGACTGAGGATTTGTTTCTGTCTTTAGGTGTAGCTCATCAGTGTTATCACGGTTTCATGAAGGCTGTCCAGGAAGGAAACATTCAGTGGGAGAGCCGTACTTACCCTTATCCTGGAACTCCAATCACTCAGCGGTTCTCACACAGTAAGTATTTACTGTGAAAACAGATTCCACCCTGCCGTGGTCATGTTTCCAGAAACTTCTTTGGAGGCAAGATTTTTGTTTTCTTTGTTTTTGAGACAAGGTCTCACTCTGTCACCCAAGCCGGAGTGCAGTGGCATAATCACAGCTCACTGCAGCCTCCACCTCCCCAGGCTCAGGTGATCCTCCCACCTCAGCCTCCCAAATATTAGGACTACAGGTGTGCACCATCACGCCTGGTTAATTTTTGTATTTTTTGTAGTGATGGGGTTTCGCCATGTTGCCCAGACTAGTCTTGAACTGGGCTCAAGCAATATGCCTGCCTTGGCCTCCCAAAGTTCTGGGATTACATACATGAGCCACGACACCTGGCCAAAGCATGTATTTTATCTGACATTTATTTATTTATTTAGAAATGGAGTCTTACTCTGTTACCCAGACTGTTATATAGTGGCATGATCATGGGTCACTGCAGCCTTGACTTCCTGGGCTCTGGTTGTCCTTTTGCCTCAGCCTTCCGAGTAGCTGGGACCATAGGTGCATGCCACCATGCCTGGCTAATTTTTGAAAAATTATTTGTAGAGCTGGGTTCTCACTATATTGTCCAGGCTTGTCGAACTCCTGGGTTCAAGTGATCTTCCTACCTTGGCCTCCCAAAATGTTGGGATTATAGGGGTGAGCCACTGTGCCTGGCTGTTATCTGACTTTTTAAATGAAGACAATGTAAAATTAGATTTTATATTACTTTTATAACCAGAATTAGGGAAAAGTGTCAGCCTAAATATATTATAGGCAGCTTGTTAAGAATTTTATATTCTGCTTTTTCTTTTTTTTGAGATGGAGTCTCTGTTGCCCAGGCTGGAGTGCAGTGGAGAGATCTTGGCTCACCTCAAGCTCTGCCTCTCGGGTTCCAGCAGTTCTCCTGCCTCAGCCTCCAAGTAACTGGGACTATAGGCATGTGCCACTACGCCCGGTGAATTTTTGTATTTTTAGTACAGATGGGGTTTCGCCATGTTGGCCAGACTGGTTTCGAACTCCTGACCTCAGGTGATCCACCCACCTCAGCCTCCCAAAGTGCTGGGATTACAGGCGTGAGCCACCATACCCAGCCCTCTGCTTTTTCCTTGGATTTTTCTCTGTTCCAAAGTGGTCAAGGCGTTAGCTTAGAATTTTAAACATCTGATGTTTTCTAAGAGGAAAACAAAGCAAAGCTGTATATGAGGGTATTTCTAAGGTCTTGCTTAGGGAGTAGTCAGATTTTAGTACTAGGTCATATAATGATATTTTAACATAGTATATGTTCAGCAAACACAAAATTTAAATGGACTCTAACAAAAAGTTGGAATGTGACAGGTATTGATTATAAAATACAAATTTGGGCCAGGTGTGGTGGCTAATGCCTGTAATCTCAGCACTTTGGAAGGCCGAGGCAGGAGGATCACTTGAGGTCAGAAGTTCGAGACCAGCATGGCCAACATGGTGAAACCCCATCTCTACTAAAAATATGAAAATTAGCTGGGCATGATGGCATGTGCCTGTAGTCCTAGCTATTCAGGAGGCTGAGGCAGGAGAATTGCTTGAACCCTGGAGGCGGTGGTTGCGGTGAGCTGAGATTGTGCTACCGCACTCCAGCCTGGGCAACAGAGTGAGACTCTTGTCTTAAAGAAAAAAAAAGTGGCAGTTCCCCTGTACTCTCTCTCCTGCTGCCTTATAAGAAAGTGCTTGATTCTCCTTAGCCTTCCGCCATAATTGTAAGTTTCCTGAGGCCTCCCCAGCATTGTGGAACTGTGAGTCAGTTAAACCTCTTTCCTTTATAAATTACTCAGTCTTGGATAGTTCTTTATGGCAGTGTGAAAACAGACTAATACACCGCCTCAGTCTTGCTAAGTGCTGAGATTACAGGCGTGAGCTACCACACCTGGCCTGCCCTTCTTAAAAGACTGAAGGTGTCCTGTTCCCTAAAAATCATCTCAAAGATAAAGTCAAAAGCCACATTCTTTACCAGCTTCTCTCGGTTTCCTCACTGTGGATATTAAGTTCTTTTCTTCCTTTCTGCTTCCCTAACATACTGTTCATACCTTTCCCCATTATTTATTACCATCTGTCTTTTGTCATTATTATCCGTGTGAGAGAGGCTGCATGCAAAAAAGGAAAGACCTTTGGAGGTGGGAAGCAAGTTTCTTGGCTTGTCAGACCCACGGTTTCTTTGCCTGAAAAATGGTTATGACAGACTCTGTTTGTGCCACAGGGTTGCTAAGAAATGCAATTGAGAAAACACTTGTAAAAATATGTTTTAAGGTTGAGGCAGGAAGATGACTTGAGCCCAGGTGTTCTAGACCAATTTGGGCAACATCTCTATTTAAAATTAAAACATATGTATGTATTCTAAGCCGTAAGAAAGTAGGATAATGATGGTGTCTCCCCCTCCACAAGATTGCTGTCTACTTCAGGACAGACAGGATGCATGTCTTAGACATTCTTCTACCATTTTTTTTGGTTTTGTTTTTGAGACAGGTCTCACTCTGTCACCCAGGCTGGAGTGCAGTGGCATGATCTTTGCTTACTGCAACCTCCGCCTCTCAGATTTAAGTGATTCTCTTGCCTCAGCCTCCCAAGTAGCTGGGATTACAGGTTCCTGCCACCATGCCCAGCCAATTTTTGTGTTTTTAGTACATGTGGGGTTTTGTCCTGTTGCCCAGGCTGGTCTCCAGCTCCTTGGCTCAAGTGATCAGCCTGCCTCGGCCTCCCAAAGTGCTGGGATTACAGGTGTGAGCCACTGTGCCCAGCCCTCTTGTACCATTTCTCAACATCTTGTTCATAGTTGATATCTAGTAAATTTAGTATCAGTACATTCTGATACCTAATAATTTTTGTGGGCTTAAGTGCAACAAAGATATGCACAGTACAGTGTCTTTCCTATGGAAAAGTCTGGGACAAAAAAAGCAGGTGAAGTAAAAAGGCCGATTCTAGAGCCAGGTGCAGTGACTTGCACCTGTAATCCCAGCACTTTGGGAGGCTGAGACAGGCAGATAATTTGAGGCCAGGAGTTCAAGACCAGCCTGGACAACATGTGAAACCCTGTCTCCACCAAACATACAAAAATTAGCTTGGTGTGGTGGCAGGTGCCTGTAATCCCAGCTACTCAGGAGGCTGAGGCAGGAGAATCGCTTGAACCTGGAAGGCAGAGGTTGCAGTGAGCTGAGATTTTGCCACTGTACTCCAGCTTGGCTGACAGAACAAGACTGTGTCTCAAAAAAAAAAAAAAAAAATTAAAGGTCAATTCTAGCTTTTTGGTCAATGTGTGCATAGTTAAACATGCAAGCTTCAATGTAGAATGTCCTTTTCAGATTGATGTAGAGGTCTCCTGAGCTCCCAACATTAAGCTTTGAAAAGTGTTTCAGTGTTGAGTCAGGTAATACAGTCAGGTACGCAATGCTGATCATGCTCCTGCAGGAGCCAGCAGGCCCAGACTAGATAACCACCCTTGCTTCTTCCATAGTTACATAATTATAGACCTTATCAAATATGTTCAGGCTTGTAGGTGTGAGACACATGACAGCATAGTCTCTTTAAGCATGGGATAAATGCCTCAGGATCTTTCCCTGGATGCAAGTGGAGAAACAAAAGAGAATTTGACGTCTGAAAATGCAAAAGTGTATCATTCATTTAGTGAACATTTATTGAATGCTCCACACACCATGGAAAATATGAAACTACTGGAAGATCTGGCCCTTGAGATGATTATAGAATAGCGGAGAAGTGTTCAGAACTGTGAAGAACTCTTTTCTTGCTCTGTGTGTAATTAAATTGTGACTATTTGACCTGTATTTTAATAGGGATGATTAGTATGTATCTTGTAAACTAAGTCCGTTTCAGAAGATCTGAAGAGATTTAGCAATTGGAATAGACATTCTCAGTATTATTTGTTAGCCCAGTATTCATACTGCACTAAGCTGTAACTGTATAGCACATTACAGTGGTCTAGGTGTTCTGAAAGGAAAATGCTTTATTTGGGTGGAGAACTTGGGAAAAGGGAAATTGCTACTGGATCACTGGGAGTTGCTCAAATTCTTTTTGCTAAAAGGCTCATTGAACTTCTTGGGTCTGCTTCCCTGCCCTCCTAAGATCAATATATAGGTGTCTTAAATAAAAAATAGGCAATAAGTAAAGTTCAGTAGGCTAGGGTGCTTAAAATAGTTGAGCGTTTTATTTATAGTTATTTTCCCGTTCCGTTATATCTGAGTTCTAAATATAGCTGCCTAAATTGACTCCCTTCCTCTTCAAACTTTGTTGATAATTGACTGCCGGTCACTGAAAATACAGTAGTGTGTGAAACTTACTATTTTAGTGCCATTAGCTTTGCATACTTCGGGCTGTGCCTTCCTCTTCCAGAAACCTTTGGTCAAGAGAAGCAAGAATATGCCAATTGCTGTATTTTAGTATAAGATTAAAATACATGTGATAAGGACCTCAGGGCCTAGCTGTTGGCTGGGTTTTCAGTCCAAATAGAGAATAAAAATGTGGGCCGGGCGCGGTGGCTCACGGTTGTAATCCCAGCACTTTGGGATGCCGAGGTGGGCGAATCACGAGGTCAGGAGTTTGAGACCAGCCTGGCCAACATGATGAAACCCCATCTCTACTAAAAATACAAAAAATTAGCTGGACATAGTGGCACATGCCTGTAATCCCGGCTACTCGTGAGGCTGAGGCAGGAGAATTGCTTGAACCCAGGAGGTGGAGGTTGCAGTGAGCCAAGAAGGCCCCATTGCACTCCAGCCTGGGAGACAGAGCAAGACTTTGTCTTGAGGGAAAAAAAAAAGAAGTGATAGGACGTTGCTAATTTCTTTTCTGGAGTTCTGGAATGTAAAGAGGAGAAGAGTGTTCTTTTAGTGACCCAACTTGGTACCAGTTGGCTCATTTCAAAATTGCCCCATTTGTTGGGATTACTATATCAGTATCGGTCTAAGAGGACAAAGATATCCGGAGTTGAGCTCCCTTGGTAGAGATTAAATTGTGGCTCCAAGTAATTGTCCTTTTGTTTGTCTAATGCCTTCTAACTTGACCCTTTGCTATTTGTAGTTTTTTTGTTTTTCTTTTTGTTTTTTCGAGACAGAGTCTTGCTTTTTTGCCCAGGCTAGAGTGCAGTGGTACAATCTTGGCTCACTGCAACCTCTGCCTCCTGGGTTCAGGCGATTCTCATGCCTCAGCCTCTCAAGTAGCTGGGATTACAGGCTTGTGCCACCATGCCCTGCTAATTTTTGTATTTTTAGTAGAGAGGGGTTTTACCATGCTGGCCCTGCTGGTCTCGAACTCCTGGCTTCAGGTAAGCCACCATGTCCAGCCTGTTATTTGTAGTTTTTTTTTTTGAGACAGAGTTTTGCTGTTGTTACCCAGACTGGAGTGCAATGGCACAATCTTGGCTCACTGCAACTTCCGACTCCTGGGTTCAAGCAATTCTCCTGCCTCAGCCTCCTGAGTAGCTGGGACTACAGGCGCGCACCACCATGCCCAGCTAATTTTTAAAATATTTTTAGTAGAGATGGGGTTTCACTTTGTTGACCAGGATAGTCTCGATCTCTTGACCTCGTGATCCACCCACCGTGGCCTCCCAAAGTGCTGGGATTATAGGCATGAGCCACTGCGCCCGGCCTTGTAGTTCTTTTTTTAGACTGAGTTTTGCTCTTGTTGCCCAGGCTGGAGTGTAATGGTGCGTTCTCAGCTAACTGCAGCCTCCACTTCCCAGGTTCAAGCGATTCTCCTGCCTCAGCCTCCTGAGTAGCTGGGATTACAGGCATTCGCCAACACGCCCAGCTAATTTTTTGTATTTTTAGTAGAGATGGGGTTTCACCATGTTGGCCAGGATAGTCTCCATCTCTTGACCTCGTGATCCACCTGCCTTGGCCTCCCAAAGTGAGCCACCGCACCTGGCCTATTTGTAGTTCTTAATAGATCTGAAATGTGAGCCATGAATAAATTGGACTTTGCATCTTAATAGAGTTCTGGCGATACAGTAAATATTTTGCAGGGGTAAGCCTATTGATGGCTAGATGGTATTTTATTTCTTCACATCTGTTTTCTCTAATTTCTTTGGTAATTTTAAAAGCCTGCGGCTCCATTATTACACAATGTCAAAGGTCAGATAATTTGGATTTAACCCTTCCACTGACTGAGACTATTGGGTTTAAAGCACTAAACATACTGCTTTCATTACCTCTTAACTCCCTCAGTTTTCTGACTTGGGCTTCTTACTGTAGGGAGTCCCAAGGATCTAACAGGCAGGCTGAGTTAAGGAACAAAAAGGGGGAACGGGGTGCATTGGCTCTCACCTGTAATCCCAGCACTTTGGGAGGCTGAGGCAGTTGAATCATCTGAGGTCAGGAGTTCGAGACAAACCTGGCCAACATGGCGAAACCCTGTCTCCACTAAAAATACAAAAATTAGCTGGGTTTGGTCGCGTGTGCCTCTAATCCTAGCTACTCCTACTCAGGACACTCGGGCAGGAGAATCGCTTGAAGTGAGCAGGTGGAAGTTGCAGTGAGCTAAGATTGTGTCACTACACTCCAGCCTCGGTCACATAGTAAGACTCTGTCTCAGGAAAAAAAGGAAAGTTATTCCCAGAGCTAGTGTATATCACAGAGGTGATTATAGCAGTAGCATTGGATGAGTCAACAGTAGTGGCATTTCCCTTTTTCTGAACTTGGGTAACTAGTGCCAGAGTTCAAAAGAGACCTTAAAAATAGTGGTGTGCTGGCTGGGCGCGGTGGCTTATGCCTGTAATCCAAGCATTTTGGGAGGCCGAGGCAGGCAGATCGCAAGGTCAGGAATTTGAGACCAGCCTGGCAAACATAGTGAAACCCTGTCTCTACTAAAAATACAAAAACTTAGCCAGGTGTGGTGGCAGGCGCCTGTAATCCCAGCTACTTGGGAGGCTGAGGCAGGATAATCACTTGAACCTGGGATGCAGAGGTTACAGTGAGCCGAGATCAGGCCATTGCACTTCAGCCCGGGCTACAGTGTGAGACTCCGACTCAAAGAAAAAAAAAAACAAGAAAAAAGTAGTGGTGTGCTAAGCTGAATTAGACCTACAAATATGCTAGATGATCATTAAAGCCATGCATAGTTCAGTGAATTTCTGAAGTACTTTTTCCTTTCCCCTTCCTTTTATGTGACACTAAACAGTTTCACATGAACATTGAGAGGTCTTTTTTTTTTTTTAACCTCCTGAATGCATGAAATGGATGGCAGGGAAAACTTTGCTTGGGTCTTTTCCTGAAATCCAAGATGGTAAATTCAAGACTGCAAGGAGTGTGGTTGTCATTTCCAAAGGATAGAGACCGCAAGGTGGCAGAAGTTAGCACTCATGCATCTTGTCTACATTCTGGCTTTGGTCTTTGCGGTTGTAGCGTAACAGCCCTTCTCACAGTCATTGCCTCTTTTTCTTAGGAATGCCTGGTGATGTGTATACAATCATCTAATCAAAAAAGTCTTTTCTCAAAGATCTTGGTGCTTTTTAAGTGTTACTGCACTGGTTTTCTAGTCAGAATCAACCAGCATGCCTTGGTAGCTCTTGGTTACATACTGGAACTTAATGATTTCCATGCTTTTTCTATCTGTTGCTTTGGGACTAGTCTAAGACTATACTACTTTTGAGTTTACCCACTGCCCTTTGGAATTAATAAAAACTGTATTTCTTTAATCACATTGGACTTTATGTGTAGTTACTTCATAGTGTTGATTAAAATTGTTTCCTCTCATTGTGTCATATAAAGATTCGTTTATTGGCCGGGCGCAGTGGCTCAAGCCTGTAATCCCAGAACTTTGGGAGGCTTAGGTAGATGTATCACCTGAGGTCAGGAGTTCGAGATCAGACTGGCCAACATGGTGAAACCCTATCTCTACTAAAAAAAAAAAAAAAATTAGCTAGCTGTGTTGGCATACACCTGTAATCCCAGCTACTCGGGAGATTGAGGCAGGGGAATCACTTGCACCTGGCAGTCAGAAGTTGCAGTGAGCCAAGATCCTCCCACTGCACTCCAGCCTGGGTGACAGAGGGAGACTCCATCTCAAAAAAAAAAAAAAAAAAAAAAAATTCATTTATTAATTTGTGCTTTGGGTTTAATTTGAAAACAAAAACAATGGAGGACTAGAGGAAAGGAATGGGAGGACATAGTACCTGTGTGGGCACTATCTTTGCCTAGCTCTAGAAGATTATGATACAGATTTAGATTAATTATGCAGCTGTGCTGAAACTTTCCTCATTTGAGCACCTTTAATCTGAATTATTATGTGTTCTTGCTGAATTTACACTGTTACATCATTGTCAACTTGCTTAGTGTGCTCAGAAATTAGCTTTTCTCTGGACTTTGTTTTAAAAGATAAGGTGATATTGACCCACCTGAAGACAGGAGGCTGCTTATAGAAATTTGGTACTTGGTAACAAAATTGCTGAGTGTGTGAAATAAATGAGCTTTGAAAAATATGGGTTATGGTTAGAATGTTGGAGGGCCTTAGAATTTTAACAGCAGTTATTTGTGTATTATCTTTCTAGGCGCATGCTATTATGATGCTAATCAGTCTATGTACGTGTTTGGAGGCTGTACCCAGAGCAGCTGCAATGCTGCTTTCAATGACCTCTGGAGACTTGACCTAAACAGCAAAGAGTGGATCCGACCTTTGGCTTCAGGTAAGAGATGAAATGCTGATCTTTGCCTCCTTACGAGGTGACTCCCTTGGTATGGAAACTCTACCTGATCCTTTTTGGTGGTGGTCTCAGGTCTAGGTAACTGAGACTCAGGTTCTTAAGTTTAATCTGCAGTGTAAATGATAATAGTAATAAGCTTGTATAAGTCTTTGTTTTTTGTTAAATTATACTTATCATTAGTAATGGTGCCCTGCCAAAATTGCTGTATTGCTGTGTGAATTCATTTGTATGGTTTTCTCAAGTATACTCATGCAGGTGTGATACATCATTTGGTATGAGGTTGAAATGAGAACAGAAACACAGTCGTGAGAACACAGTTGACTGACAGAAGCTATTGTCACAGGGTTACGGTCTCTGAATATCTTTTGTTGTTGCCAGTTCAGGTATTTGGGGAGTGTATGGGACATGCCTCTGCTAGTTACTCTTAACAACCCAGGGGTGTGAGAAGATTCCACAGTAGGTACATTCCTGCCCAGTCCCACTATGCCAGAAATCTGGCAGAATGAAACTAGATTCTTTTCTTTTCTTTTTTTTTTTTTGAGATAAAGTCCCACTTTCTTGCCCAGGCTAGAGTGCAATGGTGTGATCTCAGCTCACTGAAACCTCGGCCTCCTGGGTTCAAGCAGTTCTCCTGCTTCAGCTTCCTGAGTAGCTAGCTGAGATTACAGGCACCTGCCACCACACCTGGCTAACTTTTGTATTTTTAATAGAGGGTTTTACCATGCTGGCCAGGCTGGTCTTGAGCTCCTGATCTCAGGCGATCGACCCATCTCGGCCTCCCAAAGTGCTGGGATTACAGGCATGAGCCACTTCACCCAGCCCTATTTTCTTCGTTTTGACCTACCTCTCCTGGGGGAAAAATAAAAACCGTGGTTTTTGCACTCATTAGGAGGGCAGTTTGAAGAGGCACAGATTGGAAGGGATTGGTGTGATAGAGAAATAGAATCCACTGAGTATAAAGTATTCTGCTAGGTTTGTTGGGAAGCTTTTCCCAAAACATTCTTCATTTGGCTTTTCTTTTTTTTTTTTTTAAAGACGGGGTTTCACTGTGTTGGTCAGGCTGGTCTTGAACTCCCGACCTCAGGTGACCCGCCCGCCTTGACCTCCAAAGTGCTTGGATTACAGGCATGAGCCACTATGCCTGGCCGATTTGGCTTTTTAATATTAGGACTCATTCTTAGGACTAAGGACACTTGGGTTTCCCTTGGGCAAGTTCCTTATTTATTTAGGCCTTGGCTTACTACTTTGATTACCAGATAGGAGGCATCATGGTATATTAGGGCTCTGGAGTAAGAGTGAGGGGACATGAGTTTCATCTCCTGGCATAGTCACCAATTCTCTGTGTAACTGTGAATAAGTTACTGTACCTCTTTAGGAGAAATGTGAAGTAGGACTAAATGACTATTTTTAAATAGGCTGAGAAGACTAGTTTATGTTTCCCTTTCTAGAACCACTACTGTGAATGTCTAGGCCAGGGGCTTAAACCTATTTATGAGAAGAAGCTGCATTTTGCTTCCCTAAAGCTTAAGTTCCTGTTCCTTTTCCTTGCATTAGGAAAATATAGGAGGAGCCTACTGAGTGGATGCCATGGGTGGAGCTAGGCTTTGTGGAGATGAAGTTCTTTATTTAAATTACTGGCATTTGAAGGGCGGTGGTCCAGTCTGCGGGTGCCACTCCAGGAGGAGGAGCTATTGTATCTCCTCCTCTTCCACTTCCTTTTGCAACCAATAAAGGCCGTTTGTGCCATTAGAAAAAGCAAACACACACACACACACACACACACACGTGCGTGCAGCACGTTTGTGCCAGCCCCCCCGGTTCATGCCGGTAATCCCAGCAGAGTTTAGCATGGCCAACATGATGAAACTTTGTCTCTACTAAAAATACAAAACTTAGCCAGACATTGTGATGGGGGTCTGTAATCCCAGCTACTAGAGAGGCTGAGGCAGGAAAATCACATGAAGCCAGGAGGTGGAGGTTGCACTTCAGCCTGGGCAACAGAACAAGACTCCATCTCAAAAACAAAAACAAAAACAAAAAACCCCACAAAAACTATTGGAATAATAAAGAAATGGTAACTGTATAAAAATTTTGAAGGCTAGAACTATTTTAGGGCTCTGAGAATTTTGTACTTTGGAGGATCACTTTTTTTAGCCCTTTGTACCATATTGTACTTACTGCAAATTAATAATTGGAGTTACATCTTCTGTTTTGTTTTGCATTGTTTCTTTGAGACAGGATCTTGCTTTGTCACCCAGGCTGGAGTGCAGTGGCACAATTACGGCTTACTGCTGAGTTACAGGTTCTAAAATGTAGATCTCAGCTTAAGCATCCTGTTGCCACCACGCTTGGGATTTTGTACAAGTCTCATTTCAGAGGAGCTTTGATAGTTTCAGTCACAAAATACTATTACTGTGTTTATTTTGTAACCAAGCTTTATGCCTTTGATAATTTAGCATGGGTGCTACTCTTTCTTGCGAAAATGGAGCTCTGGTTTTCGGACCCTCATAGCCTCTGCCAACTCCCTGTAATGTGGATGTAGGCCTTTTTTAAAAAAAATTGTCACATTTGAAGACTGCTTAGTAGCCAGATGAGTGGCTAATGCCTATGATTTCAGCACTTTGGGAGGCAAAGGCAAGAGGATCCCTTGAGGCCAGGAGTTCGAGACCAGCCTGGGCTAAATGGTGAGATCCCCATCTCTACAAAAATAAAAATAAAAAAATTAGGCATGGCGGTATGCATTTATAGTCCAAGATACTTAGAGGGTGAGGAAGACGGATTGCTTGAGCCCACAGATACAAGCCTAGGGGAGAGTGAGACCATGTCTCAAAAAAAAAAAAAAAAAAAGAATATTCTTTGAAATTCCCAAAGCAGAAATGTTGGAGAAATAACTGTTTTAATTATTTATATTCTCTATGGAATATGAATTTTTAAATATAGAGCATTTGGGATATTCCCTTTGATAAAACATACAAGCTCCTTAATGTTTAAATTTTCTAACAAAAGTGTCTGAAAGAATCTAGTTGCTCCCTCACCCTGATCTGCAATTAGAGACTGGTTTTAGAAGGAGGAAAACCTAAGCTTTTTGAAAGGCCTACTTTTAATAAAAAACAATTGTTTAATGAAGAGTCCTGGCAGGAGCTGGGTGTGGTGGCTCACGCCTGTAATCCCAGCACTTGGGAGTCTGAGGTGGGTGGATCACAAGGTCAGGAGTTTGAAACCACCAACATGGTGAAACCTTGTCTCTACTGAAAATACAAAAATTACCTGGGCGCGGTGGCACGTGTCTGTAATCCCAGCTACTCAGGAGTTTGAGGCAGGACGGAGAATCTCTTGAACTTGGGAGGCAGAGGTTGCAGTGAGCTGAGATCGTGCTACTGCATTCCAGCCTGGGTGACACAGCGAGACTCTGTCTCAAAAAAAAAAAAAGAGTCCTAGCTGGGCACAATGGCTCACGCCTGTAATCCTAATACTTAGGAGGCTGAGACGGAAGGATCTCTTGAGGCCAGGAATTTGAGACCATCCTGGCTAACATAGTGAGACCCTGTCTCTACAAAACAATTAAAAATTTAGCCGGGCATGATGGCATGTGCCTGTAATCCTGGCTACTTGGGAGGCTGAGGTGGGAGAATTGCTTGAGCCCAGGAGTTCAAGGCTGCAGTGGGTGATGATTGCTCCACTTCACTCTAGCCTGAGTGAAAAAGGGAGACCCTGTTTCAAAAAATAAAAAATAGGCCAGGCTTGGTGGCTCATGCCTATAATCCTAGCACTTTGGGAGGCTGAGTTGAGAGGATCACTTGAGGCCAGGAGTTTCAGACCAGCCTGGCTAATGCAGTGAAACCCCATCTCTACTAAAAAGACAAAAGATTAGCTGGGCATGGTGGCATGTGCCTGTATCCTCAGCTACTCAGGAGGCTGAAGCATAAGAATCACTCGAGCCTGGCAGTCGGAGGTTGCAATGAGCCAAGATTGCGCCACCACACTCCAGCCTGGGTGACAGAGTAAGACTCTGTCTCAAAATAAAATAATAATAAAGTAGTCCTATGAGATTCTCATTTAGGCAGAAACCCCATGCAAGATGCCCTGAGGCAGTGTTTCTGTGTGCTATCATGAGTCCCAATCAAAATCACTTCCTAACTGAAACGTCAGTAGCCTTTCTGAATAAAACACAATTGTTTATATATCTTGGTGTACCTGACTCATTCATTTTGTGCATCGATGTGGGTAAATTGGAGGGTGACTGAGGGGAGACTGCTGTCAGTTGTGAGGTGGTCTTCTAACATTAGAGTATGTACAGGATGGTGATAGTAGCTTTAACAGTGTTCAGTCTTCAAAAGTGTAGCTGTTGGAGAAGAGCAGCAAGCAAGGAGTGGGACACTTGGTTGGGAGTAGAGTCTTCATAGAGAATAATGCTGCATCACATGTCGTTTTTACATGTGTATTTGGTTATGTGGCAAATGAGTCTAGAGCATTCTCCTGTTGGTTGGTGTCTTAGTCAGCTCGGGGTGCCATAATAAGATACCATAGACTAGGTAGCTTAAACAACAGAAATTTATTTCTCACAGTTCTGGAGGCTGGAAATTCAAGATGAGAGTGTCCGCCTGGCTGGCTTCTAGTGAGGGCTGTCTTCCCAGCTCCTGGTTTGCAGACTGCTACCTTCTTAGTGTGTTCTCATATGGCAGAAAGTGAGCTCTGGTGTCTCTTGTGCTTTTTTTTTGAGACAGAGTTTCGCTCTTGTTACCCAGGCTGGAGTGCAATGGTGCGATCTCGGCTCACTGCAACCTCCGCCTCCTGGGTTCAGGCAATTCTCCTGCCTCAGCCTCCTGAGTAGCTGGGATTACAGGCACGCACCACCGTGCCCAGCTAATTTTTTGTATTTTTAGTAGAGACGGGGTTTCACCATGTTGACCAGGATGGTCTTGATCTCTTGACCTCGTGATCCACGCGCCTTGGCCTCCCAAAGTGCTGGGATTACAGGCTTG